CCTTGTAACATCTCTAATTTTCGGCACTTATACAGTGGAGTCCACTTAAATAAAGTCCTGAAATAACGAGAAGTTTGTTAGAAAGACACTATTCTAAAACCCCATTTTTTTCCGTTCATTATCTTTATAAATAAAATACTGCTATAGTGCTATCAGACGAACACGCGAGTCAGTTATAGCACATAGGCCAGTTATACATATAAAACCTCACCAGTTGAGAAACTTGTTGGTGATCTAGCAAAACCAAGGACCTTACAACTCCTTGAGCGAAACAAAAAATGGGAGAGCCCACGTGTGCCAACAATGAAGGCTGAGCGAATGAGTGGGGAGTGTGTGGCATGCGCAGACATGCAGTTGAAGCAGAACGCATTGCATGATAGGCCAGCCTAGTCTAGATCTTCTAGGCCTACCATGCCTCTCTCTTCTCCGATTTTGGGTTGGAGAGGTCACAGTGCTATGATGGATGGAGTGAATGTGTTTGTGCGCAAGCAGACGGAACGCCACCGCGGGCGAGTTACCCTAGGGGCCTTTTTTTCTGATCGCCAACGTCGAGCTGTCAACATCTCAGATTTTTTATCAAATAAGACCTTGAGGTCATGTTGAACAAAATCGCCATGAGGGAGATAACAAAAAGAAATAAACAATGTCAAACTCGTAGATTAGGCCTACTTTATTATTTCCCTTAAATTTATTACTGAATCCCTTATGACGAGAATCCTGCTATAACGGACATTTCACACCAGTCCTCTTCCTCACGTTATAACAGGATTCCACTGTATAACCTTATTGTGTTGCAAGTGCCGTAAAACTCTTATGGGAAAAAAAGAAGTTTTATGCTTGATTGAACATACAATTATCATATCCTTGATATTCACGTGGCTGAAAAATAATGTTTTAAAGTAATTCAAACTTTTTTCCTATCATATTGCAGGGAGATTCAAAAGGTATAAATGTTTTAAAGAAGGAAACTGTGGCCGTAAATCTGCTGAAAGCCCGCCATCCTGAGTTGGAGAAAAAACCTTTCTACAATGAGTATGTATGTCCTTAAGCAGAATCTGTCATTCTTGAGGATTGTCTTTGAACTGTGTTTTACACATTTTATAGATCTCTTAGATTAGTACTTGGGACAGGGTAAATAAGGGTAAAGTGGCAAAGGATTTAAAGAATTTGGACAGGTCAACCTTGGGCTACTTCAAAGCCTATTTCTTTGTGATTTTGTTTTTTTAAACAATGTTTTTGTACTACTAGATTTTTATTGGTGAGGGGGTGGGAGGAGGGTTTTTTTGGGGGGAAGTATGGGGTAGGGTGGGGGTTCTGCTCTCTTTTTTTTGCCCCTGCCCATTCCTATCAAATGACCCTTTTGTGTTAGTAGACAAAACAATATGCAAATATTATCCTTTTGGTGTTGCAATAAGAGAGAATCAACTAAATTAGCAAAAAGGAAAACAAGTATAAAAAACAACAAGTTTATCAGTACTTGTTCAATATGGTTGCTGGGGTCATCTCTTGTTTTCTTTTCATACTAAAAATTTCTTAGTCTTTAGTGTTTATGTAAAGTGCCAAATACCGGCTAACAGTAATGTGTGTGTTTCCTTTCCCATAATTTAGTGAGGCAGATCCACTAGTTGGCTGGAGCAAGCCGGAGCTGTGGAGAGCCAACGCTGTGTACGCTTCCCTCGTTGTAAAAGTGAGTCAAATCCGGTTCCTGCTTTCACAATAAAAGTTTTAAAAATTATTTTTGTTTCAACTGCCTCATTTGAAAACCCTTTAACAAATTATGAAATTAGTGTTTTTTTTAAGAATATTGGAGTTCTACAATTTATAAATGGATGGTAATGTATGGCATGATTGTAGAAGTATAAGTGTTGAAATATTAGTTGATAAATTCTAACACCTAGAGGTAATGTTTAGTTTTTAAAAATATGATTCATCGTAATAAGCTCTCAATGTCACTGCTGTTGACTCTTCACTTTGTTCCGTTATTTTTTCAGATCATTTCACAGCACCAGAATATTCTCAAGGCAAGACCTGACCCTGTCATCCAAAACTACCAACTTCTTAGCAACGACAATGGCTTTCTCAGTTACTACCCGAATCAGTTCACCCAACGGACATTACTAGCCAGGTTCCAGATGAACAACACGGCTTCAAATTATGTAACATTTGTACGCAAACCTGTCTACATTGTCATGGGAATGTTGGCCTTGCTGAGAGAGACACAAGTACATGTGGATACTTCTCGTAAGTGAAATATTTTCACTGCATCTTGTAAACCACATAACTGCTTTTTAAAAAAAATCAATTTTTAAAATGAAGTTATGCATTGTTTATCCCTATCCGTACGCCCTGGAGTCATTTTGTACCCCCGGAGTTGTATTCTGCACATTTTAGAATACTTCTAGTGCGAAGGTCTCTTTGAAACTTTCAGTATTTCTCAAAAAATCATTTTGACAGACTGCTATGCAAAGCGTACGGGTCAGATCAACGAGTAAATTTTTTCTTTGGAAAGTGGTGTCACAATGTTCCCCACGTCGTCGTATGAATACGATAGTAAAACACAACGTATGGACAGGGTTAACTGACAACAACTAAAAAACAATATTAAGAACAATACTAGAATATTATTCCCCTGTTTCAGGTCTCCTCCTTACATTTGATTTCCTTATAGTATGTAATTTGTATCTGTCCCTTCTGTTAAGCTTCTCCTTCATATTTTTAAATACCATGTCTAATTAAACTCTAGCTGTAAATCAAATCTGTTGTGCTGTCTTAAATGTTTTCTTTAAGCAAAGATTGCTGTATATTTCTATGTAAGCGTTCTCACATGCCCTTCACTTTTTATACTGTCTGATGGGCTCCAAAACCTGCTTTTCATCAAGAGATTTCTAATGCTACATGCAAGCATTCCTGATCATAGCCCTTTTGCTTGCTATAAAAGATTTTGAAGATGATAAGTATACAGTTTCAGTTTCGTGTGTAATGTTTTTAACCCGATTTTATTATCAGCGGATGGTTGGAAGGTGCCACTGGTAGTCCTAGTTCTTTTTATTCTTAATGTTTCTGTTTGTTTCCTTTTCCCTGCTCAAAACTCCATTATCGATGTACTTTTTTCATAGCTTAACCAGAAACAAAACTGACATTTTCTCCCAGAGAGCAATACAAGTGACTTTGGTGTTCTGGCCACTCTGCATGAGCACATCATGAAGAATTCTTCTGACAGGTCTGTCACTGGTAGTTGTGTTTCTGTAATTACTCTTGTTGTTGTTGTAGTTAGTTGTAGTTGCTTTTGTTGTTGTTTTTCCTGTTGTTGTTGTTGTTGTTGTTGTTGTTGTCAATTATTCAGCAGGTCTATCACTATTAGCTTTGCCTCAGTAATTCCTGTTGTTGTTGTAGTTAGTTGTAGTTGCTTTTGTTGTCGTTGTTCCTGTTGTTGTTGTTCCTGTTGTTGTTGTTGTTGATTATTCAGCAAGTCTGTCACTATTAGCTTTGCCTCAGTAACTCCTCTTGTTGTTGTTGTTACTTATTTAGTAGGTATGCCCCTGTTAGTTTTGCTCCTGTAATTCTTTTTGTTTTCATTGATTATTGAGCAGATCTGTCACTATTAGTTTTGCTTCAGTAATCGTTGTTGTTGTTGTTGTTTATCAAGCAGGTCTGTCTGTGTTAGCAATTTTAGTGCGCTACAAGTGGTTGGTGGGTACTCTGGTGTGCTCTTTCCTTCTCATCAAACATCAGTCATCCTTATCTCTCCAGCCTCTTTTCTTTGTTTGTTACTCTTTAACTTTCTAGTGGTAACACTATAATTTTAAGCGCTTCTATGACCTATAATTGTGGTACAAGTGCTGTAACACTCGTACTGAAACTAAAACCGAGTGCAATGTATAAAATTTTGTAGCATTGAATTGGTGTTCTGTATTATTCTCTTTATCTCAGCTGGCAGATGACCCTCATTGTGTTCGGTGCCTCTGACCCTGGCGAGCCGACGGACTACGCCATGTTGAATTTGAACTGGTACATTTCTCCCCCCGAGGGAACAACCAGTGAGTTGAAAAGTTTGTGTCAGGTGAAAAAAAACTGGCTTGCCGATTGTACCGGTTTTCCCGGGACCATTCAAGAAGATTCAGCATTTGGAAATTTGAAATCCTTATGGCAAATGTTACAACAAAACCAATCTCGCTTGGTGTAATTTTGTTTGTTGTTACGTAGAATGGTGTTATAACATTAGGTGTCCCTGTTTGAGTTTTGAAAAAGTTGGCAAGCCTGATGGAAGAAACAGAAAACAAATACCCAAGCAATTCTGTTGCTTGTAAATTTTAAAGTTTGTTTTCTGTTCTCCTCTGCTTACATTTGTCCTTTTCTTTAATAAATATCAACTGTCTATTTCTTTTTTTTTACTCAGTAAAGAGGGCATAATGCTGACTGCAACAGTCAGTGGGTGGTTATGAAACATCTATTGTTCATATCTCTCCTCCTTTTTTCCCTTTTTTCCTTACGTATGTGTCTATCTAGTAGCACCTAATCTTCTGCACGTATATATATATAACCTATTTGTGTTGCAAGTGCTGTTAAACTTTTACTAAAACTAAAACTTAACAATTGCAAAAATTGGGTTATAGTTTTCGGTTGCTTGATTTTGTTCTGTATCATTGGTGGTTGGTGGGTGCTCTGGTGTGGTTTGCTCCTTCTTTCCTACCATACATCTATCATCTTTGTCTTTCCTCCTTCCCCCCACCAGGACAGTGCTACTTATTGAAGTGTCTTTAGGCCATTCCCAGAGGGGGGATATTAACATGTTCTTATGCACAGTAGAATTGTAAATGGGCTGAATTATCAATGTCATGCTCATACTGTGCCGGAACAGCATAGGGGGAGCTGCTGCTTTTTCTTTCCTCATCCTTACTATCGTCATTTTTCTACTTCTTTTGTATGTTTGTCACTCTCTTGTGAACTGCTATTTCCGGGGTGCCTTGATAGTTGAAGCTAACTAAGTGCTGTTGAGGCTAGAGAGATGAGCAGAGTAAGCCTGATTCCCCATTTTGATTTCTCTGTTGACATCCAACTCTTGGCAATTATGTGACCTTATGCAGTTGCGAGCGCCGTAAAACCTTACCAAAACAATTTTCCCCCTTCTTTTTTTGTGTTTGTTACTCCCTTGTAACACCTAGTCTTCTGCACTTATATGACCTAATTGTGTTTGCAAGTATCGTAACACTCTTACCAAAAAATTATTCTGTATCACAGGTCTGAAGCTGATGACCCAGCTGTGTTACAATGGTGCCGCCAACCCCTATGATGTGTGGGCGGGACTCTACAATAAAACTGCCTTTCCAACATTGAAGCAGTTTGCTTACATAAGAACACAGGAGGTATGTTTTATTGGATGAGCTCTTAACACATTACACCCTAAATTGCCCGGGATTGCCCGAGATTGTCCTTACACGCTCCACCCTAACTCCTGCGGAATCACCCACTCTGACCAGGCGTCTTTAGAAACGAAGTCTCGAGACTCTGGGGCCGAGATTTTGTTCTACATAGTTATTGCAAAATGTTTTTTCTTCCGTTTGTTACGGAAATGAAATTTTTCGAGTTATTAGTTTTAGTATTACAGCCGATCGAAGCACGATCGCATTTCCGATACTTCAAAAGTGTCTCAACTTGTTGACGAGCAACAAAATTGAGTTTAAAAAAGGAAATAATGGTGGATTTGAGCAAGAACAAGCAAATGACAAGTCAGATGAATCAGATATTGATGAAAACGTTGTTGCAAGAGTTTGGGGCGATTCAGATTAATCAGATGTAAAATTGTAGAATTTAGATCTATGGCCCGACCGCAAGGCTGAAAGTGAGAGTGACGGGTCGGACACCCCGACTGAATAAAGTAAGAACATATTTCCAGCAGATTGTGCATACATAAAGTTATATTTTTCTGAAGCTACAATCTTTTCTCTTTCTAAGTTTTATTTTTTCAGGATTTAAAAAATTTGTTAAGTATTTTTTAAAGGTGTTTTTTAACCCCTTTTCTTGGGATTTGGGGGTAGAATTCCCATCGAGACCCTTAGGGTGTAATGTGTTAATCTTTAGGTTTGTTTTCATAATTCAGGGATGACTTTTTAAAATCGTGTGATCCTCAAGAACCTGGGCTTTAAATAGTTAGTATTAACTCTTTATCTCCAAGGGGAGCAAACCCACTATGCCACGGCCCTTTTTTGGTACCGGTTCTAAATCTAAAAATGAAGAAAATGTCACTAAATTAGTGAATAAATCAAAACAAGTGAACCTATTTTGATAGTTCTGCGTCTCATGAATAAAATCCGAATGAAAGTGACCTGTTTTCGCCAATTGCCGAAAAGTAGTTTGATGTCAAAGTCGTTGTAAAGGAATGTGCCCGAGCCGCTGTCAGTGGCTCACTGGCACAGCAGTACCGCCCGCGAGCCACTGGGAGCAGCTTGCCGGAGATAAAGAGTTAAACGTGCCACCCCTCAGTACTTGAACTGAAAAGTTGCTTGTATTAAACATGCTATCTCTAAGTAAAGTAAAGTAACGTTGTTCCCGCATCTGATCCGAACATTGGGGATTACCTTGTCAGTGAGACAACTTCCCGGGCCTTCGACATATTGTGGTAGGGTGGCCAGTTCCTTTCCACGCCGCCTTTACTTCCCCAACTTGAAGTCAGGTACCCATTACTGCTGGGTGGGCAGGAGGGGGCGAAAAAAATCTGACAAGGGCACTAACCACTCCGCCACTGCACCCTCTATTTCTAAGTACGTGAACTAAAAAATAGTTTGCATTAAACATGTTATCCCTATGTACTTGAACTAAAAAAAATTTGTATTAAACATGTTATCTCTATGTACTTGAACTTTAAAAAAGTTTTGTATTAAACATGTTATCCCTAAGTACTTGAACTAAAAAATAGTTTGTACAGCAGAATAGTGCTTCCATTCAGGCATTATTTGTCTGCCATTTTTTATTTCTATAGATCAATCTCTATTCTACTACTCTTGCTAATATTGAAGTCTGATTATAAACCTGCTACCTGTAAACCAGCTTTTGTATTGATCTAAGCTCCACAATCTAAACTTTAAAGCTTAACTGGTTTGGGTACCCATGTGGACTAACTTATTTCTGACAAAACTTGTCATTTAAAAAAACCTACTGATTTTTTCATATATTCTTTTAGATACCTATTTGCATGATTGAATGTTTTGACATTTTACTTTCGTATTTGCTATAATGTTGTGGTTCAATGTCTGTTTGTATTTTTTACTTTGATACAACAGTATGTCCCATTCTTGTCTATTCTCCAGGATCCGTATCCTGAGTTGATGGACGTCCCGGTGAAGCCAGGAATTGTTCCCATTCCTCCCAGATTTCAGATTCTGGACCCTCACATTGTAGTCTTACATCTGTGTGCCAAATCTGACCTTCCACCTGAGAAAGTGAGTAAGCAAAGTTGAGGGCAAATAAACCTCATTTCACCATAATACCAGCCTTTTACTTCTGAAGGAATACTTAAGTTTTAGTAAGTTTTATGGCGTTTGCAACACAATAAGGTCATATAAGTGCTAAAGATTAGAGGCATTACAAGAGGGTAACAAAAAATGCAAAAAAGAAGGAGAGATAAGGACGATAGATGTTTGATAGAAAACAAGCCACAGCAGAGCACCCACCAGCCACCTGAAAGGAATACTTTTGTTGATCGATCAAAAATATTCAAGAGTCCCATTTTACATGTCTATTGTTTTTAATAGTTCAGATTATACGAAAAGCATGTAGGGCCTTTTGCTAATGCTTTTCTTTACAAGTATCGTTGTGAATTATTATCTAATTCCATTATTTATTATTCTTTTATTTTTCATGCATTGATATGTTTTTTTTTCTCCAGGTGATGGGTGTTCGATTCTTGAATGTTACTGAAGGTCAAATGATGGTGATCTGGTCCGATGACAATATTCATACAAAGTAAGTGTGCAGTTGGTGGCTGCTCTGATATGATTTGCTTCTTCTTTTCTATCAAACATTTATTATTCTTATCTTCACTCCTTTTCTATATCTTACTGTCTTGTAAAACCTCTAATCTTTGACACTTATGACCTATTTGTGCCATTAAATTCTTACTAAAACTACGAACTAAAGCAAAATAAGTCTTAACCTCAGCAACCTCTGAAATGTGACATAGTCCTTCAATCACCATCTAATCAATTTCTCGATTTTGCCTGGGGTCTCAATACTACTCTAGTCTCAGTGTGGCTCTTTGAGCTCTTGTCACATACTTGCTCTGTCACGTTCTCTCTACCAATATCTGTGGTGTAGCGGTTAGGCTCTTCATCGCTACATGTAGGAGAAGGGGGTTTGATTCCTGAGTGGAGAAAACTTCTATCGAGTGTCCCTGTCTTCCTGCTATGATGTTGCATCCCTCTCAACCTGGGTTAGCCCTGCAAGACAAGGTTGAAGCTGGCCTCCAAAATAAGCTAAATTGTGTTGATGAGGGTGTAAAAGAGGATAATCATTAAATTTTTATGATTACAGTCTCACTGTACAGCCTCAGTCATGAAAGTGTGGCCTGCCCGTGCTGCTCTATAGACTTTTTTTCTGTTTTGTCTTATGCAGATTTATGTAAAAATTGCAGGGTTATTTCTGCCTATTTGTGCTTTGATGTTTTTTGGGCATTTTGTCTATTGTCTTCTGCTTCATCTTTTGTTTATAGCCTTTTCTTATATATATCATCTGAGAGACTTTTGTTAAAGAACTTTTCCTTTAGGATGCATGACTAAAATTACAAAAAACAAAAGACTGTTGAAATACTCACAATGTAAAAGCATCTTCAACTCAATGCAGGTTTCTGTCAAAATGACAAATTCTTTTCCATCATTAAAAAATGTACATCCCTGAGCAGATGTCTACTGACATATGAAGTGGAAGTTTCAACCTCAGGACCATCAGGTCCTTACCGCAGAGTCAACAAAAACAACTCAGTTGTAACGCTTTTCCTTTTTGAAACTGGTAAGTACTAAAAATCTTCACCCTGCTTTTACTTTTAGTTTGTTTGCTTCTTTTGTTATTTTCTTTAGTTTAAGTTTTCAGAATGTGTGGTGTAGCAGTTAGATGCTTCACTGTCACGCGCAAGAGACCCAAGTTTGATTCCCAAGTGGGGAGGAAGGTTGACCGTGACAGGCAGGGTTGGAATTGGAAGCTTTCCTCCAAATTGATCTAAATCTTGTTGATGGGACATAATAAAAACGCTTCATTTTTATTGAAGGTCTAGGTCTTTTCAAAGGCAGAGAACTTGGTCACTTTACTGAAAGGAAAGCACTATTCCCATAGGCCCTGAAACTATTCCCAGTGACACTGGGGATAGGACCAGAAACTATTCCCAGTGACACTGGGGATAGGCCCAGAAACTATTCCCAGTGACACTGGGGATAGGCCCAGAAACTATTCCCTGTGACACTGGGGATAGGCCCAGAAACTATTCCCTGTGACATTGGGGATAGGACCAGAAACTATTCCCAGTGACACTGGGGATAGGACCAGAAACTATTCCCAGTGACACTGGGGATAGGCCCAGAAACTATTCCCTGTGACACTGGGGATAGGACCAGAAACTATTCCCAGTGACACTGGGGATAGGACCAGAAACTGTTCCCAGTGACACTGAGAACTGAGAACAGATGGGCCAATTAGCCTATTGTTCCCCCCCCACTGATCTACATGATCTATATTTGATGGTGATGGGTTACTAAATACTAGATCTCTAAACTATATTATCTCCAATCTAGATCTAACTAAACTAAAGTAGATTCTGGTGTGAGTGGGAGTGGGTTTTTTTAAAGAAAAAGAATGATCATTCTATGTTTGCTGGTTATTTAGTCGTAATTTAAATGTACGTGTAGATCTAGATCTACATAGGCTACGGATTTCCCTTGTCACTGGGAATAGTTTCTGTACCTATCCCCAGTGTCACTGGGAATAGTCACTTCGTTACTGAAAACCAGGTGGAGAGAAATTATCCAAGCAGGACAAGAAAAGTTCTGACCACCATAGAGAGGTCAACACATTCAATAAATCTATGAAAGGCCTCACATGAACCGAAAAAAATAAGATATCACTTACTGTATACCCTTTGTACCCTTTCCCCTTTCTAACCAGATAAGACGAGATATTGGTGTTTTGGCATTGAGGTAGAGTGTTTGTCTTCTGTTAGAAAAGGTCTCATATTTAAAGCTCGATTTTTCCTTTCATATGATTACTTTGTCAAACTGTATTGACAAAAAATGATTTTTGTGTATTTTCCTCAGACTGTACTTTTCCTATTCATTTGCCAGGATCTGGACAATAAAGATGTATCTTATCTTATCTTATCTTTTGCAGTATCAAATAGGAACTGTTTCAATAAAGTGGGGTTTTTTCCACCTTGTGGTCACAATAAACAAAAACATGCTCAATAAATAAAAAATTATTACTGTCATGATCAGGCTACTGCAATTCTGAACCCTACTTTGTAAGTGAATCGTGCAACTTGCTATCTTTAGCCATTCTTTCACATCGTAATTTTTAATTCTTTAATAAATCCCCCCCACCCCCAGATTCAGAAGAGAAGGTCAGAGGTCACTACCGTGTTCGAGCAGTGGACTATTGGCACCGCGGGGGAGACTTCTCCAGTCCTTTGTTGTACTCTTAACTCCGGATTGTTTTAAAAGTGTTACATGACTGACATGTATATTTATGCTGTTTTCACAGAAGTCTTTTGTAACTGTAAAACCTGTTTGCTGAATGTGATGTGGCCAATAGTCAAATACTGAATAAAAAAACACCTGCCTAAATTCTAATCATTATGTTGATGCTCTCACAAGCTATGTTGTCTGCCACATGAATAAGGAATTGGTTAGGGGGTGCAATAGCTGTTAATAAAAGTAAGCAGCTCACTGAAAGATCTCTTCTTCCAGATATATTGCTTCAACTGCATCAAAGGCAGATGTTCTTATTTTTTGTTGTTGGATGTAGTATTTTCATTCCAGCCAACTTCCTTAGAGTACTTTGCAGGGTTGTTGTCGTTGCATTTATGTGAGGTCTACTAACGTTACTATTCTGTGGTTCCTTCATCATGACATTTCCTTTTACTGATTTACCCCTATGCATGTATTTTATACAAAAGATTTGCTGATTCATGTGGGCCTATGTGGTCTCAATTTAAATAAATGATAATGAATGTTTTCATACTATGGTTTGCCAAAGGGCTTTCAAGAATGAAAAGGTACAGTCAAACCTGCTCTAACATCCACCTATCCCAGACAATCACCTGTTCAAATGACCTCTACCCACTTCCCTCCTTGCATTTATTTTTTACATTATGATAGTGTCCAAGACTTCCACCTGTCTGAGACAAACACTTTTCTCCTGGACAATGAGTGGTCATCTTGGACAATTTCTACTATCTGTCCCCTTCGGTTATACAATTGTGCTGCTGTGTTTTTTTTCATAATTCCACAACATTTGCATAATTTGAGATTCCCCGAGTTTTTTCACTTTTTTTTGTTGCATTTTTCACAAAACAGTTATATTTTTACTGTCAAAAGCAAAAGATTTTTTTCTACGAAAACAGAACTCTTTAATTTTGCAAAGCGCTCAAAGTCCATATTATCCATTTTCGGTAACTGGCCAAGGCTTGTTGATATTAACCCATTGGGGGATCGGGTCGGGACGGGTCGGTTTGCTAGCCAGATTGGGGGCACAAAGCGGCTTTCGTGGCACAAGCTGATCGAGCCCAACTTGTCGCCTCAAAACCAAACGCGTTTGTTTTCAGGCGACGAGTGGGACGATCGCTCCGGACCCTACCCGATCCGCAATGTACACCTTAACGAAATGGAGATGGATAATTTTTTTTTAAAAATAATAAGACAGCGACCAAGACATCCGCAAGTGAATGTCAATGACAATTTATTTGCCCACTACTGAGGCACAGAAGTAGCTGTACCTAACCCCTAGCCCCTAGCCCCTAACCCCTAACCCCGACCCAATTTGTATGGGGGAAGGGATGGGGAGTTGGGTTAGGATATAAGGGGAGGGATGGGGGATACGGGGGGAGGGGTGTGGGTAGGGGATGAATGGAGATGTGTATTGGGTTGAGTATGAGGGTTAAGTGGAGGGATGTCGGTTATGGGGGGATTTAGGGTTGGATAAGGTATAAGGGAGGGGTTAAGTAGGGTATGGGTGAGGGGTGTAAGGGGAAGGATGTGGGGTTGACCTGAGTATGGGGGAGGGATGGGAGGGACGGTGAGAGGGATTTTGGGTTGGGTATAGGGTATAAGGTATGTATATGGGGGTGGAGAGGTTGGTTAGTGTACAGGGGTAAGTAATTGGGGTGGGGGAGGGGGGGTTGGAGCAATATCTGAAGGGTTTATTTGTTCGGGGGGTAAAAATTATATTGCCATCCTCCCCATTTCCCTGCCCTTCCTCAGACACAAAAGAACGTCAAGCCACATAGAATCTGATGCTTTTTAATAAATATATATATACGTAACATAGGAATTTGCTTCTACTTATAGTCCAACCAGAGAGCCCGAGACAGTCTCGGGCCGGGCAGAGAACGGGTTAAAAGTTTTTTTTATAATCTTTAATGGTTGCCTATTTTTATTGATTATTCTGGTATTCCCCAATTTAGCACCTGTTCTACCACTATTCTAATAAAGGTGATGGAACTACCAACTTCCCCCTGGGTGCCGAGATTCTTTAAAATCTTTTGTCAAAATCAGTGTTCATGCACATTCCCAGTAGAGATGGACACCAACAGTATAGTGTTAGTGAACTGGCGCAAGGTCTTTGAAGAGTTACAGTGTTACTATTGCGCCTTAGTAGTAGCTCGCTGAGTTTATTTTACTACAAGTGTACATGTACAAGGAGAAATGTTGGATGCAGTCTAAGCATGACCGGCAATGTGTTTTCTACTCATTTTTGCCCTGGGCAAACATTGCGAATAAACATTTGATATATGCTTCTGGTATAAGTTGTCATTCTACTCTTCTTGCAGATTAAATGAAATTTGTAAGGGTTCTGGGATAAGCTGGTCAGATTTGTCATCTAAGGAAAGCTTTCTTTCCCTCTCTCTCCTGAGTCTTGAAGTTGAATCATTTTTACCCAAGGAACTACATGTATTGTATGTAACGCAAAGAAACGACTGGACAGTCACTATGGTAGTGGTAGGGAGCTGTTCAAATATATTCTAACACCTGGAAGGGGGGGGGTCTTTGGCTCCTGTAAGAAAAGTGTAAGAGAGGGGGGGTGTCTTGAACCAACGTAATATTACACTTTTGTAAGGTGAAAAAATAAGGAAGAAAAGGGTGGCCTTGGTCAAGAAAGGCTGCATGGTTTGCAGAGGCCACTAGGAATGTGGAAAATATTTTCCAAGTATTGCAGCATTGAAGTTTGAAGAGGCACAGGGCATTACACAGGAAGAAATGAAGGTGGAGGAAGAGATATTTAGTAGGTCCTGAGCTAGTAATGTACACACCTCCAATTACTTTGTTCACTCATTATCTCTTGTTTTGGTGACAACTTCAGAATTATACTCACTGAAATTGAGCTAACATCTTGTTACCAGGTACTTTGTAATTTTGTAGCTGTCGTCTTCAATTTTCAATGGCGAGTTGTACAATGGATAAAGTCAACCTTGCTGAAAATAAACTTTTTTTTTTTGGTCCTGAATTCCACTGGCTGTAATTTTTTTAAATTTGTTATTAAAACGCTTTTGAAATTGACTTGAGTCTCAATTTATTCTTTATTAGTAAGAAAGAGTGCTTGCAATATTTTGCTTGAATGATCTACTCTGTTATTTTTTTTTTGTGGTAAATGTAGAACTGCATATTATTATGTGCATACGTGTGATATCTGTGTATGTGTTCCACGCAATTTACCGATCTTAAGATTGCGCTGCACGTTTTAACGATCGTATAATTGCGTGGCAATCTCAAGATTGTGGGGCAATTTTAAGATTGCGCGGCGCGTTTTAACGGTTATATAATTACAAGTAGGCCTATCATTCTTGTGAGCTCTTCAGTTTCATGTCTAATTTCAATTTGATTTCAATTTTCTTAATTTTGCAGTTTTGAAAATATACCTGAATGTTCCTTGATGTGAGTTAAAGAATAAAGATGGAAATGAATTATACGATCGTTAAAATGTGCAGCGCAATCTTAAGATTGCAGCGCAATTATTATACGATCGTTAAAACGCGCAATCTTGCGCCGATCTGTAAATTGCTCAGAAAATATATGCATGTTCTTCATGAATATTATGTAAAGCGCATGGGACAATGATTGTAACACGGATTTGTGCGATATACATATTATTAGTATTATAAACACAATGCAATATTATTGGGGGGGGG